CTCCTTTTTTTTTTGTTTTTAATCTGCTCTCTAACCATATAGTCAACTTATATATGTTCTTGTATTTGTTGTCCTTTTTATTGATTTAGTTGCTGCAGGATTAGGTGAATATTTTTTTTTTATCTCTCTCTAACCATATATCAACTTATATATGTTTGTATTTGTTGTCTTTTTTTTGTTTCGTTGCTGCAGGATTAGGTGAATATTTTATTTTTTTTGCTTTTCTCCTTGGATTGAGTTTTTATTTTGTTGCTATTTTTTTTGGATTGAGTTATTTAAATTTTTTCCCTATTTTGTTGCCTTTATACCCTTTGATTACACGCCACTTTGATTATGTTGACTACACTTTTTAATTATAGATTGTTTAGGCATTAAAAAATATTACTGGTAACTCGCTAAAATGCAGATTGAAGGTGAATTTGATTCTCATTAAATACAAAATTTTACATTTTTTATCACCTTTTTGGCCTTTCTATTTATCTCTTTAAATAATAACTATGAATTTAGAAAAGAGTTAGAAAATATTAACTTAAAAATGTAAAACCATGCTCTGACTTGTGAAATTATAACATTTTGTTATTTATACTATTTAAAAATTTACTCTACCATTTGCTTATTTTTTATATTGCTGAGACAAAAGATTAGACAGCAAAGAAACAGAAAGTTAATTCTATATATCTATCTATTTCTGTTTAAATTTTGATTTACAGTTAAAAATCATAGATACATGTAGTGATACAAAAGATTATTAGATAATTTATTTCTCAATTTGTTTTCAAAAAAAATGAAAATGATTCAAATACAAGAGGGTAATTTGTTTATAGATATGAATTCTCCAAGTATTCAAAATAATTTCCTTAAAAATGACAGCTTTCACCTAAATGATAATTTGAAGATAAAAATAAGTCATTTGGGCTTGCTACTATTTTATCTATTTGAAATTTTATATATTATATATATATATATATATTGAATTTTTTTGTAATTGGTATATATATATTTTTTTTCTTTTTTTCTTTTATGTTTCATTGGATTTTTAGTTTCAAATATTAACATTTTCATTATTAAATAATTAAAATTATACAAAATTTTGTTATATAATTATTCACATTGCCATTTTTCTTTTTTTCTTTTATGTTTTCATTGGATTTTTTAAGTTTCAAAATTAACATTTTATTATTAAATAATTAAATTATACAAAATTTTGTTATATATTATTCACATTGCATTATTTGATTGTAGAATTTTATTTATATAGAATTATTTAGAATAAAAAATAGTGTTTAAAATTGTTTGAATTATAAACTCTAACTAAAAATTTGTTAGGATTAATTGAAATTTATAATTATTTAAATAAATTAATGAAATTATAATTTATATATAACACGGTATATAATAAAGTAACCCCTGGAAAAATAAATCAGTACAGTTTATATATTATAAATACTCATCATTTATGAATTATAAATTACAAAAAGACAAATTAATCCATGCAAAGGGTGGGGCTTCATCTAGTTAATATTATAAACAACAATACAACAAATCAATTACATAGAAATAAAACCTTAAAAACTCTCTTTTTAAACATTTAATATTATTTAAAATTTCATTTTAAACCTAACTAGATCAGATTATTAAAACAGCAAACAAAAAATCCAATATAAAAAAAAACCAGAAAAAGAACATATAAAAATCTTTAATCATTCTTTCTTTTTCGAATTTAAACTTAAATTTAAACTAAAACAGATTATTAAAAAAAAAATTAGCTCAATACATAGATTCACTCTTTTAATTTTCGCGAAAAACCTTGTGGCACCTACAACTTTCGTTTTGATCTATTGAATACTACAACTTATAGAATTATTTTTATTATAACTACTTTGATTGACCTATTGGCCACCTCAACTTACAAAATTAGATCAATTAAACACTTATTGGATAGTTAAAAAATTATAAAAGTTATAGTACCAAAAGCTATATTAACCATGTATCAAATCAATATTTTAAATATAAAAGTCAAAAACCTAAAAAATTACAGTTGCTTGCATGACGAGGTGTAAGATTACTATAAAAAATAAAGTTTAGGATGCCACTAGGTCGACTTTAAAATTTAGGGGTGTCACAAGATTTTTTTTGTTAAATTTCAAGGGCTAAATTATATATGCGGTCAAAAAAATTAAAAAAAAAAGAATTTATAATATATATAAAAAGTACGAATGAGTAGGACAACATTGGGATCACAAAAAACGCCTCTCTTAAATTTATATATTGACAAGAATACCATTAAATATTTTTAATTGTATTGGTTGTAAAATAATACTCCCTCCATCCCATTTTATTTGCATGGTTTGACAAAATACGTATATTAAGAATTTAGTCAACAAAAATTATTTTGTCTTTTTTTACCATTAACTCATTAAGATATTAAAAAAGTCTTTCATTTAATGAACAACCATAAAAGTTATTATAGAAAAATTAATTGTTTAAATTTATAAATTTGAAAACCTTACAAATTTTTTGGAACCTCCAAAAAGGAATAACAAGCAAACAAAATAGGACGCAGAGAGTAGTAATTTAATTTTGATTGGTTATAGTAATTTCTTATTTAAATCTAAAATTCATTCAACTACTTTTAATTTTCCTAATCAAATTAGATAAAAAATTAATTTTGATCGATTATATTAATTTTCTATTTAAATTTAAATTATAATTGGACTATATTAATAGCCTATTTAAATCTAAATTCCATGAAATTATATTAATTTTCTATAATTAAATCTAAATTCCTTTACATACAAAATTTACATATATTATTAGATTTTATAACTTCCTATTCATAATAGACTAAAACTTCCTATAACTAGCTAGCATGAACTCACTCGAAAGATATTTAAAATGTTTAGGCTCAAAAACTCAACAAAGTGTACAACTATATAAATGATCGTGCCATTTCAATATAAATATTAAAATAAAGCAAGAATACATACTTATAATATTCAACTATATAAATGATCGTGCCATTTCATCCATCCTATAGTAGAAAGGTATTTAACATAATTTATTTTAATATTCAACTCCTTTATAGTATTACTGTCAAACTACCTAGTAGCTTGAAAGCCACAAGAAATAAGAGAGTTATATCTGGCCGAGTTTTGGTAATCCATAGAAATCTCTTCCATAGAAGATGTTGAAATAACACGGGTAGGCTTTGGTGGAGCTGTGTTATCAAATAAGATCTTCCTTTGAGAGTTTCCTTTTGAGGAGACATGATTGAGACCTTAAAAGTGTTTCAAAATGATGTAGAAATAGAGGAAAGATACCAAATAAGAATAAGAGACAAGTAGATGTAAACTAGAATTCTAAAAATAAATTTATATAGATTTCTTTTCGATATGGGCGTGTTTGAATCAACACAACTAAGTTAATAAATTTCAAATCCTTGTATGAGAAAAAATTAATCAGCTCACCAATTCATCAAATCGATATCTAGGGGTGTGTCGACTTAAAGCATGGTTGTGTCATGCTCTTAAGAATAAATAGCCTACAGAGTTAGAGACAAACTTGGTCAGAAACTTAAGTGTGTTAAAATGAGTGGCTTGAGGACACGACCTGTAGGAGTTATGGCATGAGCATGTTTAGTTGTATCTCTATTCCCCTTTTTCCGTAGGCACCTGAATGCAAAAACATAATAAAACTTCTCACTAATAATGTCATTTTTCAATATTTATTTAGCTTAATCGATAATTCAAAAGTTTAAATACAAAAGTAAATAAACAAACTTTTGAAAAACTATACAACAACAAAATTATTTTCAATCAAATGCATTGAAGATTTACACTCTCCACCTCTCTCTATCTCTAACTCCAAATGTAGCTTAATATGTTGCCCTTTCACTTTGAAACTTCCTTTTACCTTGGGGTTTATAAGTTCAATAATTATATATAAGAAGACTTTAATGACTTCAAATTGGCCACTATATCTTGACTTTTGTTTACCTGGGAATAAAAGCAAGCGCTAATTATATAGTAATACCTTTGCTCGAGAAAATATGAATTTTAGTATTGGCTCTTCATCAAGGAAGCGTTTGGTTCGCTCCTTATATAGTTTAGAGTTAGCACATGCTTTATTATGAAGATCTTCCAACTCTAATAATTGAAGAAGAATTTCTTTTTCAACTCTATTATGCTCCAAGTTGAGTATCTTCATAGCCTAATAAGCCATGTGATGTAACTCTACGGGAAGATGACAATGCTTTTCAAAAACCAATCTATACCGGCACATCCCAATTGAGGTATTGTGAGTATGTGGTATGATCATAATGCATCCCTCAACTTAAAAGCCAAATCCTTTCTTGATGGTCTTACCGCCTTCACTAAAATTCCCTTGGTTTGCTTATTACTTATCTCAACTTGACTACAGGTTTAGGGATGATAAGGTGTTGTGACCTTATTATGTACCCATATTTTTGCATAAGCTTTTCGAAAAGCTTATTACAGAAATGACTTCCGCTATTACTAACAATTGCTTGTGGAAATTTGAACATGCCTCAAAAAAGCATAACCACATTTGCATGTTTAGTTTTTATAGAAATTCCCTCTACCCATTTGAGTGCATCATCAATAACAACAAGAATGTATTGTAAATACTTAGGAAAAGGACCTATAAAATTAATGCCCCAACATCAAATCTTTGCTAAATTATTGCTTTTTTGGATAAGAAAATTATATTTAGCTGAATAACAAGACTTGCAAAATTTGCTTGACAAATAGTTGTAAAAATTTGAAAAGGTTGAATTTTCTTTTGGTTTGAAAATTTTTAAAAATTTTGTTTGTCATAACTTTAACTTTTTACTTTTAAAGAGAAAATTCCCATGATTCCATCACAAAATTTAATTTTCATTGAGAAACGAATTAAAAAAAAAGCTTTTTAAAGTCAACAAATTAAAAGTACTTTTTCCTTGAAAAACACATTAACAATGCCATATAAGAGTGAAAAGTTTCATTTCTTTATAACTCTCTCATTTTCTTCATTTCATACTATCTCTAGATTCTCTCACTAGAAATTCTCTCTAAACTCTCTATTTAGCTATGTTATCTTCCTCTCGTGCAGCGTCAGCCACAGAAAATCCACGTCAAGACAACGAGACTTACATCTTCACGACTACTGATATAGAGGTATGCTTTTTTTTTTTTTTTTTTTTTTTCGATCTGCCTGATATAGAAGATATGAACTTTTTTTTTATTTTTTCTCTTATTTTGTAGCTTTCTCTTTTTTTTTTTTTTTTTTTTTTTGCTTCTCATATTCAGCAAATATAAAATAATTTTGCTTTTCATGTTTGGTACATATAGAAAATTTCAAAATGATTGATTTTCCTTTCTACTGTTGCGAAAAAATATGCATGCTCGCATTTTAAGAAATATAAAAAGATTAAATTTTCTTTTATTGTATCCTTCTAGTATTAAGATAATGGTTCCTAGATCAGATCTTGTCTTCTTATAACATTTAGATCTAGATGTAGATGCTCCTATTCAAAACATGTTGAATGCCTGGAGTCTTGGCTTTCTGCTTAACATGGACCATGCAAGCCATTGTAATAAGGATCTCATATTAGCTCTTACTGGGATGTATTGATGCTTTCTGTTTTTCATGTAGAGAGCTAACAGTCTTACTTGATGATCTGACTATGATTACAGGTTTGCATTTTGATACCTAACCTATAGAGACGTGTATGATGATTGAAGGTATTTCTCCTCCCAACAGATAATAGATCTTATGAGTGATGATCCTTCTTGAGATCGTGTGGATATCCCATTTCTATGGTTGCACTAATTGGTTACCGAAGCCTTTTCATATCTTTTCATAAAGATGTATACTGTATAGTAGCTCACTCGGATGATAATCTTGTTGATTATTGATTGCACTTTCTAGCATTCTAGCAGGAATAATGTTAACCTAACATTCTAAGGAGTCTCATCGACTTGGATGTATTGGCAGAGTATGACTTAGAGGGATATCATGTTATGTGTCATGTATGAGGACATGAGTCAGTATTCTCGTGGTATGCATTCATTTTTTCCATATTTTGATTATTTTCTTTCTGTAGTATTAGTCTCGTAAGTATCTACCATATACCCGTGCCATTTTGAGGGAACCTAGATTAGCATCATTTCTCTTAAAATTATTATAGCATAGTGAGAACGTCGAGTCTGCTTCAACTAGGAGTCTATATGACTTTAAATGGCACTTCATATCTTTAGTTGCCTATCAGTACTGTTTCACTTCTTTGCTTTGCTGTCAAAATGGGAATCGATGAAGAATGATTTTCAAAACTTTAAGGCAAACATATAGGTTAAGAGATTTCTAACAGTATGCCAAGTTTATGAAACTAAAATTGTCTCTTACGATTCATCATTTGAGTCTCTTGATGAGATATTCTAGAGATTGAAATGTCCATCTAATGAGCGTAGCATTAATAGTGATGACAATGATTGGATGTAATATTAGGCCCTGTCAAATGATATTGGATTTGTCAATGGAATAGGAACTTGTGGATGTTGTAGAAATTCAAACGATGTACAAATATCGGGCCCTTTCAACCAATTAAGAGAAAATTAACGCAGTGGAATAATAAAAATGGGACACACAGAAATTTACGTGGTTCACCCTTTAACTGTTAGGTAACTGTTAGTAGGGCTACGTCCACGAAACAAAAAACCGATAAATTCTTCCACTATTAAAAAAATAGCTAGGCTTACAAAAGAGAGTAATTTACAAACATAGTTTGGCACTCACAATGGTTTTCCCCAAATTACCTCACTATTCTCTCTACCCGAGTTTTAGAAACCCATTCTAAAACCTAAACTTCTCAAAAAAACTCTTTCTATCTCTCGGTGTTGTTGTATATGTTGAAGCTCTAGGCACCATTCCTATTTATAGGAGAGAGGTGGAAGCTTGATTAGGGAGAAGTGGATCTGATTAACGCATATCCACCTACCAGCGGATCACCTTACCAAAGACTTCCTTTTTTTTTTTTTTTTTCTTTTCAAACAGATACTGTACCTACCATTTTTCATTTTCAACGCAAAGTGGTGGGGTCTACCACGTTTTCCTTCATCTTTTTTTTTTTTTTTTTTTTTTCTTTTCAAACTACATGTACCTACCATTTTCTATTTTCAACAAAGTGGGGGTCCTACCACGTTTTCCATTCTTCTTTTTTTTTTTTCAAATGTGGGTCCCATTTGAGTGGGCACCGCACAACAAAACAAAACCCACAATTCAATGAATCCATCATATTGTAGTATATCCATATACGGTACCAAATTAATTATACATATGTATTAAAAATTATAATTGTAATTCAATTTGTTTCAACACAATGTCAATTTTAATATTTGCAATTTAATCACATAATTCCAATGCATTTGAAATGCAAAACTCAATTTTAATTAAAATTTCATCTTATACTTGCAATTCACCGTACAATTAAAATTTCATTTCTAATTTTAATTAACACTTGAATGGACTAACGAAAATGCACAAGTTATTTGTATATTAAAACCTTTGAATTGAACAACATTAATTATTTTATGAGTTAAAAATTTAAATTTTACAATTTAAATTAAACCTATGTCATTTTTAAAACTTGCAATTTAATCACATAATTCCAATGAACTTCTAATTCTAAAAGATTAAAATTCACACTGTAATTTTCAAATTTCATCTTACACTTGCAATTTCAATTACAATTATAATTTCAAATCCAATTACTATATATAAGGACTAATATAATTGCACATGTTATTTGGATACTAAACCCATATATGGTATCACATTAATTATACTAAGTGTTAGAAATTGAATTGCAATTTGTAATTCAATTTATTTCAACATCATGTCAATTTTAATATTTGCAATTTAAACATATTTTAAATGAACTTGTAAGATAAAAAAAATTGGAACTCAAAATTCAATTTTAATTAAGATTTCACCTTATATTTGTTATTCCATTATACAATTACAATTCTAATTTTAATTTCAATTACCATTTGTATGGACTAATGTTGTTGCACATGTATAGAATTGTAATTGTAGTTGAAATTAAAATTAGAATCGGCACAAATTAGTATAATACATTTGGTACCTTATAGGGGGTTATACCATAACATGGCTAGTTCATTGAACTATCTCAAAATTTTAATTGTTGAACCTAAATTGACCCTCGAATCACCAGTTTCCAACTAGTTTCAATTCTGATCAGTTGTTGTTTATTACATGGTAATATTTGCATGTCTTACCATAACTTGTTTTGTCATGGCACAAAGCAATAATCACACTTAAAATTTTTTCCAATGCATTTAATGTCATCTAGTCTTACACAATTTTCAAAGTCACTTCAATGTGGTTTTATTCTAGTTCTAAAGGATACATAAATAATTATGTATGTTTCAAATTCAAATTAGTTGCTCTGACTCAAAATATAAATTGTTTAAGGTTTTTGCACAAGTATTAAGAAAGCAATTAATTCTTATAAATTATAACAAAACCAAAGATAATTTGATCAGATAACCCACTATCTCAAAACCATGAGTAACTTGTGAAGGTATTTACTGTATCTAATGCAAATAAGAGTAACATTGAAAAAAAACATTATTTATTATTCCTTAAAGACTTCTATTTTGGAACAAAATAATCACCCAAAAATAACTTATTTTGGGATGGAGGAAATATCATTTTTCAACATACAATATTTCTCAAGGATATTAATACATTTTGTAAAGGTTTATAGAATAATTATTCTCTCACACCATTTGTATATTGTGCCACTATTTATACAAGTAGATCTTAACAGCTAAGCATAGATACAACTAAGAGTTGATAATACATATGTAACAACGTATATAACAACTTATGTTTATCCCGTGGATTTGGATGACACAATCGTTGATGCCACAGAGTCTGTGAAGTCCCTTTGGCAACTAGACTTTTGGCACACAAAGGAGAAGAGGTGGACATCGGTGGAAATTCATAGAGATCACTAAGATTATTGCAATTGAGAAGTGGTTTCCAAGTCTGCAGGTACTTCACATAAAAACCAAATGGATCAAATTCAATAGAACAATGATTATCTCGGGTAAATTTCTTAACAGAAAGAAGATTATTTGTCAAAGAAGGCACAAGTAGAACATCTTTTAAGTGAAAATTTTTAGCAGATGAACACAAAGTTGACTGACCAATATAGGAAATAGAAGAAGAGAGACCATCACCAAACATGAGAATATCAATACCAAGATAGGGAGAAGAATGAAGTAAATTACTTATATTTGGAGATATATGAGAAGTTGCTCCTTTATCAGCATCCAGAAAAAAGAGGATCATTCTTACAGTTGGATGGCTGTAAAGGAACGATTTAAAGGTTCAAAAACGAAAGAGGAAGTGGTTGGTGAATAAGAAGTGAATCGATGATAAAGAGGACAATCTCTTACACTATGGGTAAAGTCAAAACAGATTGGCACTGAATGGAAGCTGAATAATGAGATTATGGTCAAGGACCTAATAAACTATTAGCAAGAGATGATGTAGGGAAAAACAGTTGAGGCTGAGAATAGCGGTTATGAGAGTAATTTTGTCTCCCTCTGCCTCGATTGTGGTTTGAAGGTTGATAATAAGCTTGCTTATTATTATCTTGGTAAAAATTAGAACGGCTATTATATTGTGAACGGCAACTTCCTCGTCCACGATAGGGCTAAATTGGGGTTGAAGGACAAGTTATGGCAGCAAAGGCACTTCGATTAGGTTTGACAAGCAAATTCGAAAGTGTACAAATAGGCAACAAGTAATAAAGAGTGAATAGAATATCATCCCATAAAAATTGTATACCAAGTATCAAAATTATACTAACCTATTATTATTTAAATGATAATAGGAAGAATAAATTTAAAAATAAAAGAAATAAGAGAAAACAATGAGAAATCAAACAGGATAGTTTGATGAAAAGGAATTAAGGATTAAAAGATACTAGGATGTTGACTTCACTTAATTCTATCTAATTTATTCTATTAGTTTGAAAAGCAATTTTAATTATTCAAGAAGGAGAAACAACCCTAAAATTGTTAATAAGCTCTCCCGATGTATTATTAGCTATTTTAATCTAGTTTAATTACCTATCTTTCAATAGCATAATCAAACATGAATTAAATCATTAAATTTAATGGTTGTTTATGTGTTCATAACCTAAGGTCATTAACTTATGAAAATCCTATGAGTCAAACCATATAGCTTTCGCATCAAGTTATTATTTTCATGTAATTTATTACCTTTTTCATATCAAAAATTCTTCTCCTATTAGTGATTAATAAAATAAATCAATCTAGGGGAGAAACTATATCTGGAGGCATTAAGTTCAATAGTAAATTATATCATGAACAAAGAAAACTAAATCTAATATTATAAATTGGAATCGACATTAAGCTACGTAAAATCCCTAGTATGTGAATTTAGTTCAACATAGCAATTAAATAAAACTCAATCAAACTTGTAAATAATTCCAAAGTCAATGTGAATATTGAAAATAAAATAAGATTAAGCGTTTAGAAAAAAACCACTAAATGAATGGCTTGAACGACTTCCTTGAATTTTTACTTAAACTTGAATTCTCGAAGTCTTAAAAGAAAGAAAAGTATGAAAAGAGTAGAACAAAATATCTAAGATCCAATATAAAAAAGTATTGTAGTGATCCCTCTTTATATAGACTTCGTAGGGTGTCTTTAAGTTCGAGTATGAAACTAACTGCCTAATTAGGAAGAAATAGGATTTGATTTAGTCTAGTATTTTTTTTCAATTAAAAGTCTTTTTTGGTCAAATAGGGGGTGAAACTCAAACAAGGTAGGCTTTCTACTATTCCCATGCAGCTCCATACACAAGACACGTCCAGACTTTAATTCTACACGGACTAAATAATTAAATTTAACCCACTTGAAATTTCAACTTTCTTGGAGACACGGTCATGTAATATGACACGGCCAGGTCATGGACTTTGCTAACTTGGCCATATTGATCTTTTATCTTCTACTTCAGCTTCAACCTTCTTTTA